CAAAGAAGTGGTTTAAAAATTAAAATAATAATTTATCTTAAAAATGAGTATTTAATAAAAGATAAAATTAATTCGATAAAAGAATTTTACCAAGTTTAAGAAAAAAAAAAAAAAAACCCTAGTAACTTAAGCCATAAGCTTATGTAATCATTAATCATAATAAAATTATTATTTTTCATAAAATTACATATAGGTTTTTTTAGGTCAAATTAGATATAAGAATAGGCCAAAATCAACTTAAAGAATTTTATATTTTAGTTTAATGTTGAGTCGGGTAAATACAGTAAATAATAATGGCTTCATGGGATGACAAACATGAAAGTAATATGAGAAGACTTAATTCCCATTAACTAAGGTAACAAAAATGGAATTCTGCACACCCGCCAAGATTAGTGTCCCACCTACATGAATCAACAGATACTTCAAAAGTCGTTTAAGCAGGGTATCCAAACCATCATGATGAATACAAATATCAAGCCGGATCCACCAAACCTGTAAGGTGACACTATATATTCCTACATTAGCACCTAAATACTCTACAACCAGCCAATAGACGAATTCACAAGTATCGCCAGCCGCCGCCACCAGTCTCTGGCCACCCCGCCCCCTCATCCTTTCCCATCATCAGCCACAGAATTTTAGGTAAGGGTTATACCAGAAACGAAGGGGATAATACACTTCATCCATTTCGCCAGAAGGCACCTACAGCAACTCACAGGCTAAAAGAAAAAAGAAACCCTCAAATTAGCGCTCTGGCAAAACTTAACCACTTATGAGTCCAACATCTCATCTTGTATCTCGTTGGGGGCAATGAGCCCTGGAATAGAAAGCATCCGTTGCCGCTCTCTTTCTCTCTGAGCAGCTGCTTCTTCTGCATAAAGGTCTTTGTTGTCCTGAAAATTATTGGACAAAATTTGACACGTTTAAACTCAGAAAGATCACTCCAGCCTAGACCAAACATTAGAAGGATTGACAATATTCTAGTACCTGCGCTGAAAATTCTTTTGACTGCACAAGAAAATCTCGTATGTGATTTTTAAATGTGGAGAGGTCAGCTCTTGACTCGAGTAATCCATTCACAAATTGAGTGATCTGAAAATTTCAAAAGATCAATAATATAGCTCTAGGGTGTGGGTGGGACACGGGGGAATCAATATCAAAACACCACCAATAGGCCTTCAAGTTTTCATACCTCTGCTGCAGTCATATTGGGGAATGATGAACCCAAAAGTTTTATAGTGTATTCACGAACAAACATGGCATTATTTGGATATGGATAAGGAACAGCCGCAACATCCCATAAAGGTTCTGTTAGCGCACCACTCTCAACCTAAAAGTCAACAGTTTCAGCAACACCAACATGCTAAAAAGATAATTTTGCTTCTGGCCCACTTTAAACTGAAGGGAAACATTCTGGGGCAAAAGGAGGGTGCGGTACTAACCCCACCTCATTCTCAAATAGATGCTAAAAGGACCTATCATTTGCATGACACTTACCAGGCAAAATAAATGCTGTAGCACCAAAACATGTAGCTTGAACCCAGGTTTATGGAATGTGTCCGTCAAGACAGCAAATATTTCTTGCTCAATTGACAGAAAGTAAGTTCGGTAGAATTGGTTACAAAACTCAGAAGCCTATCAATTCCAAAACGAGGAAGTTAGGAATCAAGCATTAAAAAATCACGATTTATCTACCAAGAGAAGCAATAAAAGATTACATACCTGAAAATTCTTCAGCATTTCTAGTAAAAGATTTAACCCAGTTTCAGCAATATTTCTCTCTGTATGCCGAAATGCCCAGATGATTGAATCCATAACGAGTTTCAATTGCTGAAACAGAGAAATAAAGTAGTAAATAAGAATAAGGATGCATGCTTTAAAGTATACTAAAATCAACCCAAGCATCTAAACTAAGTAGAACTGCATTCCTACACATTAATCATAAGAAAGAAAACTAAACAACTATTTAGATAAATTCAAAGAAAAAAATTTCCCAGTTGATTCAATCCTCATTGAATTACTACCAAATTAACATATTGATAGAAAATTTTCATTGTAATGTTCCTCTTCAAACCAAAATTCCTCCCACATTGAATTCCTTGGGAGATATCCCGACTTTGAGATATAAGAATTAAAACCACCACCAAAGAGTTGAAGGTTAGAGTGAAGGTGAGCCAATTTGAAAAATTATGATGCAATTCCACCTATCAATCTTAGCGTGCAATTTATTATCTGAATAAGGTAGGAATTACATGAGAATTAATCAAGCAAGCCACTAAATACCAACCTGACTTGACAACTGAATCAATGAAGGGAAACAATGAGTGGCAATGGCCCGAAGTAATGAAAAGAACTTGAGGCGATGTTCTGGGTAATCTTCAAAATTTTTGGTTATCATCTGCAACCCAAAACAGATATTTAGAAAATAAGTGTAAGCAATAAATACACATGCAGATCCTTAAAGATTTGTCAGCTTGACCTTTACCCACAATTTTTTACCGACTAAAACAGTGGCAATAGCAGAAGATATCACCAAACTAGCACTGAGATCTTTCTAAGAAAGTTCATTTGCTCTTAATGAATTCCAGCAGGAAATATATATCAAAAAAATACAGACAAACAATTTCCATGGGTTTATTAAATGAACATAAATATAGACCATCATGCACTTAATCTAACTACATTTATATTAACTGCATTAACTTCCAAGCCATATTTTCATTCCCATCCAACATGCTATCATTCCAATCTCCTAATTTCCAATTAATAACTGTACAATTATGGTTGGTCTTTGCATATACCAGTTTAAGAAGAGCTCATTTATGGGCCTTTCCACTATATGAAAGATTACAACGAAGCATATATATGTATCAAAGTGGTTTGAAAATTAACTCCCACATTCTCACCTCCAATGTGCACTGGAAAATGGCCTCAAATATGCGAGGCACATCATCTATCATTGCAGCTTTGTACCTTCAGGCAACAAATAGAAAAATAAATTAGTGAAAAGAAAAAGTTCAATGAAAATTTGTTGTAATTACAGGACACCATGAAATTTTAGAAAAAGCAAGCAGCCTCTGCTGATGGACAAGCAACGGCATGAAGTTAAAGTGACAAACTTGACATACAGAAAACCAAGTGAAACAACACAAGAATATAAAATAAATCCAAATAGTAGATTTATTGCCGTTCCTGTGTTACGTAGAAACAAAGGAAGCATTGCTCTTTGACACACAACGGATTAGGTTGTTAGTTTGTTTTCTCTTTTTAGCTTCCTTTTAGAAGGCTCTAGAAGGATATGCTGTTATATTATTCTCATCTTAATAATACTTCTATAACGAAGAAAGATTCAATAGTAGTTATGTTCTCTTTCCGAAAAAAACAAAAAGAGAACAAAAAAGATCTAGTAATTATGCTCTCTAAAGAACAACAGAACAAAGATAAATAGTAAAAAGATTTTGCAATTCACAACAGCATCAGCCAAGTTAAGGATGATGACATGACCGCACATACATCTCCCAGAACACATGTCCGTATATACACACATATATATAAACAAGAGAAATCAAATACACCCCAAAATTATACATCTATATATACACACACAGAAACTAAGCATACCCTTTATTCAAATTATCACGATATTTTATAAGGTAAACATAGCATACTTGTTTATTATTGTAGAAAAAAGTGATAAGACTTCTGATTCTCTAGCATCAGGAACATTCCTCGCATAGTCACCAAGCACGGGATCCATCATTGGGGGCACAAACTGTTTTCCTATATGTGACTGATCTTCAGCTTTGTCTAGAAATGTCTCGATGAGCTTAAGAGTCTCCCTTTTAACAGATCTGTTCCATATAATACATTTAGAACACTAAACTTTGGCTTACACAGTAAAACAAAGCAGATTCTTACTGAAATATCCTACCGCAGTAGCTTGACATACGAAGTCCTTGAAGCATAGGGCCCTCCTTCGGCTATGCTATTTGATACAAGCTCACTATACATTCTGTAGAAATTTCACTTAGGCACATATTAGTAAACATGAGATAACTAAAATACGCTACTGAAGTTTAATGTACATCAAACCCAGCTTATACGTTGAAACTTTCACCTGTACACATTTAACATGTCGAGAAAAATCAAAGATATTTGGGATAAGAAGTACGTCCCAAGAGAACTAGCAACACTAGTATTTGTCTGCAACACAACAAGGAATATTAAATAATATTCACAAAGCAGCTAAGCCAATATCACACTCCAAGTAAACTGATTGCTCAAGGTCAAGAAGTTAATATATATAATAAACTGATTGCTTCCATGACCATGAGAGAGCAAAACAAGTTCCAAGATGAATACAAGGATGATGAAAATCCACACCTGCAATATATTGAGTACAGTCCGGATTACATCCTGATCTTTGAGAAAATCAACACTTTGCCTTGCCTGCCCGATTATTTCAGCCCATTTCTGTATAGTAGACAACATCATAAACCACATGCTCAGCGCTGCCCGGATTGTTCTAGAACAGGCAAAAATTGTGCATTTTTTTTTGTAAGGGTGGGAAGAGTATGGAGTGAATTATTATATCTCCAACCTGGTTAGGCAGATCCATTAATCTCTGCAGGTACTCATCCCTCTTCTGAGGATCAGATTCTGCTTGAATCATATGACCAACCTGAAAGGGCAGAGAAAAGTAGAAGATATTACCTAGAAGCAACATTATCTTATATGCCAGTTTAGATACCAACGACATGAAGAACTGCTTACAGATTCATAGAATGTGTGAATCTGGTGAGGTTCAAGGTCTGCCACAGTAGTTGCAAGTCCTGATAAAAGTTCGGATACAAATGGTTCACTTTCCCCAACCTGAAACCATGAGGAGCTTAGGAAATTAGTACTACTTTTCCCCTTACATAATAAATTGGCTCAAGCTAGTATTAATTTTAAGAGGAAAAAAGATACCTGTACGATAACAAACTTGCGCTTGCACTTTTGAACAATTTTCAAGAACGTATCACAGGCCATATCCTGGGAAATAAAATGTTACATACGTTAAACTAAGACTGTGAAACCTTAGATGATAGAATCTGGGTATACCACCTAACCAAAGAGCAGAAAAGAATTTTTATGAGTCATGCCAATACATAATGCAGTAGAAAGACGCCACTGTACCAATTACTGAGTAAATAACATATCTAAAGCCAGTGCTCCTAAGACCACAGCTTTCCCTAAGACGACAATCTGAATCTTCCAATCCCAAACATGGTTCCTTTATCACCTAGTTTAAAAAATTGACGAGCCAAAGACAAACCACTAGTAGAGAGAAAAATCACAAATTTCAACAGTTCTAGGAAAGAAATATAAAGTATTAGAGAATCTTTTGCTCCATTTTTTAGGAAGGACATTTACTCCTTTACAAGGTGAGGAATGCTATTATATCTTGATCTTTTGAATTTTTTGGTTCTTAAACTACCTTTTTTAGATTATATGTGCAACCTGTCCAATTGTATTTGTTTTTTACACATGTTTATCATGTATACACATAGGCTGATCACGTGTATATACACAATTTCACCCCTACCAAAATGAGTAATGCGTACTACAGGCCCAAATATGGGGCAACATGGACCACTCAGAACAATGTACCCTGATCTGTAGCGGGTACCATAACTATGACCTAGGTAACACCGCAAAACAACTTCCGGTCCCTAAGACTTAGGGGGGGAAGTTTCATGACCAAAAACGAAGATCAGTAGATAATATCCAGTACAATCAGTTTGCTGTCACAATAACTCAAATTGGTATTTGATTTTGATTCTCAAAAAATTTCATTCAACTTAACTTTAAGCGTTGGTAAATGATAAATTTCGCTTATTTGACTACCGTATTAAATTCGATTCTTTCACTTCTCAGGAAAATACATTAAAACCTTTATGAACTCTTCTGCTTTAACTTGAATAAGTAAACCCCTAAATGTAAAGACTAAAACAAATTAGAATCTCTAAAACTTAGATCATGATTCTGGCCATATTTGGCAGGGTTCAACATTTGACTACCACCATAAGTTTCCTATCTTCCTCAACTACATCTTGTCACCAATGCCACCTCCCAATTGATTTCCAGAGACAGATTTAAGGAGAGAAAATACTTCCTAACCAACCCTAGGATGCTATGTCACACAATTCCAGCAATCAATTGTCAGTAATGTCAGACTAATATTTGTTAACACAGAAGTTACTAATTTGTTTTCATTAGTATTTGTTCAGATTAAAAAACAAGGTCAGTCGGTTTGTGAGGTTCTGATTGTATTTCTTTTGATAACTGACCATAGAATAGGATTTCTTTTTCAGGGAAACTTGATAAACTCGCCAAACACCGAAAACGAAATTGACTAAAATTAGTTCACTAATTTTGAATCTAGCACAACTTTTTTTTTTTGAAACATGAATTCAGCCCAACTTTGATCAGTACTATTTTTGTATTTGAACAATTCGATAAAATTTGATATTTTACGCTTCAGTTTGGTTACCAAATCTTTTATGCCCCCAGACCGAAATTTTACAGAATGGATACAAGAGACATGTGACTATTATGTTCAAAGGAACAACTGCTGAAAGTCCAGACTCTCAGTTAACTTACCAGCCCTTCTACGTGACTATTAAGTTCAAGGGAAGAAACTGTTGAACATTGAGAATTCAGTTCAGTTAGCAACCCTTTTACACCCCCAGTCCAATATGTAGAAAATGGATACATGGAACATTTGCTTATGAAGTACAAGGGAAGAACTGCTGAAAAGCCCATAATTTTGAAGTTTTTATGATCATAAAATTTAGTATAAGTTTCTTAGGAGAGAAATAGTTATTTCATCAGGAGCAACCAGATATTTCAACATAACAAAAAGCAACAAATATTACCTGAACTCCAGGATGAGTTTCGTGCATAAACTCAAACAACTTATTCACAACAGTTTTCAAGAACTTCCAGTGAGCTTTTAAAAACCTAGGATACTGTCCAACAACATACCTGAAAAGGACCCAAAAAAATACAAAGGTATGAAAAAAAAAAAAATCACCAATAAAAACCAAAGCCATGTCTCCAACTATTCTTCAGCAATCAAACACTGGAATACAGCAAACCACAAAGCAGTTTAATAGAACCCAATCCAAAACCTTTTCAGTTGAATTGCTACAATGAGAAAATGTTTTCTAGGAGGAAAAAACAATTTCACTAAGAGGCACCAAGGCGGCAGCATCTAAGGGTACAATGTACAAGAATTACAAAACTCCCAAAGACCTTATAAACAGGTCAACAACACAACCTATCTAACCTTAAAATAAAAAAGATAAGAACTATTCAAATTTGAAAATCTTACATGATATTACTTGCAATAACAGCTTTGTTATCTTTTCCTTTAGTAATTTCACATAAATTGAGTAAATCACGAATGACCATCACCAGAAATCTGTTTTCCTGCCATAGACCAAAATGTTATTAAGTGTCAAAATCTATATTCAGCAATCACAGGGTACAACTTAGATTCATAAACTATGCAATTTTCCCAGGAACCATGAAATGAAACAACATGAAATAATTAAGAAAATCCCATTTCTTGGAGAGTTTTCTAGAATAATATTTCAACACATAAATGGAGAATTTTTCTCTTACATGTCAATTGTTCAACTTTTCGTACTAAAAAGTAAAAAAGAACATTCTCAACAACAAGTCCCACACTCAACTGCAATACAGTAACCAAAGGTAAGAACAAAAAGCACGCTCCGAATTTGAAGAATGAAGGAAATTTCAAGATATTTAGAACAAGAGCAAAAGTATTTAGCCGAAAACTGTAAAATACTCTTGTAGAAAAGATATAAAAGTAAAATGCACCATTTTTAGCTTCTCTGTTTCATTTTCTTTTCATGCGGTTGGGAGAGATGTAGAGAAAAGGAAAGATTTGAAATTCAGTTTCCCACTCAGTTCCAGATGCATGTTCATCATTAATATTAGTGTGAATCCCTAATACTTAACCAGAAACAATATTTCAGACAGAGGTAGAGAAAGAATGTGAAAACCAACATGACTGATTTAATATGGGGCAAAATTATTCAACCAAATAGACAATATTCTCCGTTGCATGCAATTGGGAAGATAGGGAGAAGAAAGACTTTACATCCATTTTCCACTTTCAATTCCAAATATGCATTTTCACTTTATCAGATGGTGTCTAGAATTCCTAAAAGGAAAGACTGAATGCAGTATCGTACTTAAAGTTATTAAAGTAGATAAATTCTTACTTAGAAAGTTAATAGTTATGTGATAGTGTTATTGCAAAAAAAAAGGCAATTCATTTTTATAAATTAATAAAAATGAATATATCTATTAAAAAAAATTTATTACTTAAATTGTCTTATACTTTTTATTTGAAATAAAAAGTTAAATTGTTTTAGACATATATTGTTACTTTGAAAATGATTTCAAGACAATAAAAAAAAAAAAGTAAATTAGATATTAAAGAGTAAGAATTTTTTTAAGATTTCAAGTGCTTGTTTTTCACCTTCTTAAAAGTCATATTTTTAAGAGAGCCTAACGAGCATCATGCTCTAATATTACCAAACAAAAATATTTTAGCATAGATGCTTTAAGTTGCATATAAGCACCAAGTAAGCAATCCAAAACTCCTCTTCATTTTAGTTTCTAATATTAAGCTAGAAAACAAGATGTTAGGACGAGAAAAGAGAAAGGATGATAAAACCAACATGACCTATTGCATACCAGGAACAATTACTCAACCAAATAGATAATTAGTGACTTGCCTTGCATGTGGTTAGGAGAGACATGGAGACAAAAGTTTAAACCATTTTTCCACTTTCAGTTCCCAATATAAATTTTTACTCCATTAATATTAGTAAGAATCTCTAATGTTAAACCGGAAAACAGGATGTTCATAAAGGAAAAAAGAAAGGAGGATACAACAAACATGACTGACTTTGTGCTGGCACAATTATTTAACCAAATAGACAATGATTGATTTTCCTAGCACGAGCTGATAAATAACTTATTTCAGATAGAAAAGAGGTTGCAGATAAATAACTTATTTCAAATAAAAAAGAGGTTACTGATAAATAACAATGTTAAATTTGACGTTGCTACTCAATATCCAACTTTATAGTTTCAATCCAGTGTATTTTAGATTTTATATTTAGGGAAAACAGAAGTAGGGAGGAAGGAGTTGGAAACTGGGCAAAGCTCACATACCACAGCCTACTATATAAACTAGATGTGATATTAAAGGGAGGAAAAAAGGAAGAAAGTCCATCCACATTTTTTTCCAACCTGGAATGAGAGAGATTACCAAGCTAGTGAAAAAATTAATTTAAGAGGGAAAAAGGATACCTGTTCTTCAGCCATTGAACCAGATATAGATCCTATCGCCCAGCACAATGTATTCAGGTTGTTCCACGTCCAGTCCTCACCACTCAGTTGTTTACTTAATTTCTTAAGCATCTGAGTAGGGCCAAGAAACACGTGAAAATCCAAATTAGACATCAAACAAGGGGAAGTTAATCTAAAAACACAAGCACCATGATCAACATGGCAAAAAATAATCAACCATGAAAGGAGTTCCACCCCTCTTTATCTTATGCACAAATACATCTGCATGCACATACTGATTTACACAAGCTAAGATGTGCCACAAAAATATTTTGTTTTCCTTTAACGTATACAAGCTTCAGCTACATGAGACAAGCCACATACAGATATTAAACTCAGTTAAAATCAGACACCACCTCGCAAAACAATTTAGATCTCCCAAAAGAACAACCATAATTATCTGGATAATAGGCTATTTGACATGCATAACCTTGCATGAAAATTAAAGCAACAGAATATCATGAACCAATAATTGAATAATTACATTTATTTTAAAGAAAATGAAACAGAAACCATAAGTTATAATTACCTGTTTTTCGGTATCCTCATGGTCAAGGTGTGACAGGTAGATAAGTGTCTCCCTCATTATCTGCAACACTTAACTCCGGTTAACCATAGACACCAAAAGAGAACTGTATTTAGACAATATCTCATAGGATAAGTCATAACTGCAGCTCTTTCCCAAGATGCATACTCATAGACACAAATGTCCTCTCAGGAAATGAGAAAGATATCATACACTTGGAGAACATTTCCTGAACAACACTACACTTGATAACAATATTCTGTCTAGTATATCTTCCTCAATGAAAGTCTTCTCTCAAATATATATATATGTAATAGGAAAAGGACTAATTTTCTTATTTGCGAGAATATCTTTTTTTGAAAAAAAAAAAGTTCTTTTTTTTTTCAAATAAGAAAATTTTTATAGAAGGCAGTGAATAAATAAATATTTTACTTGTAATTCATAAATTTCCATCATACAATCAGGATTAGAGAATCTATACAACTGGGATACTTCTCATAAAACCATTAACAAATTACTAATGTGTCTCTTTCTCCTACTGATCCCTAATTGGAATTTTATTAGTTTAAACTATATAGAAAAAGCACAAAGAAGTAAACAAAGTCAAAGAGCATCAGTAGTATATTTTTTCTTTTTGAAATATAAAAAAATAGAACATCAGTAATATCTAGTCCCATTGTATTCCGAAAATAAACATAGAACATTCTTTAGTTCCCAATTGCTTGAAAAGGTTAAAAGTTCATGCTTAACCAAAGTCTGGAAGATATTTCAGTAAAAATGCTTTAAGCTAGCCAAACACTAAGGAAAGTTATTCACATTATCATTCATAATGGAGCATTGTCCTGCATGAAAGAGTGGAATGTAAAGCTAACAGTATCATTTCCAGTATCAAGCAACTAGAGCATTTTAGTCACGAAATAATATCATTACCTATGTTTCTTCGTCAGTCCATAAGAAGCATGATTGCAGGAAAAAAACAAGCAAATGAAGTTTGGATATGAATCCATATCTCAATATCAAAAATGTTTCACCTTATACTGAACAAGGACATCGTTGTCCTTCATAGTTTCACGAACAATGTTGCCATTTTCATCTTCAACTATGAGAACTTCCTCAGGCTTTGCCATACGACTGATCATGAGAATTCTCAACTTTGACATTGGACCCACATAAAGCTGCCGTCGCTGCAGTAGTTGTGATCCAAGGCCATCAACCATGCCGGGAAGAAAAGGCATCTGCAGATAGGATAATGGAGATATGAAGTAACCCTTCCGCTACAAACATGCAAGCTTGTATAGACAATTAGGCATGAGCTAAGTAGGTGAATAGACACACACAACAATATTCATCTACTATGTTCCAGGTAGAAGACCACTTAAAACAAACCAACATGTCCACAAACATATGGTTGTGTCCACTCAATTTATGCCATGTTCCTACAGCCTCTAAGCTGTTTCCATGAGACAGATCAGCTATCGCAGGCCAGTGAAAGTTCAGAAAACGGATCATGTTGTTTGTCTGAAAGTTAATACCGGCAGGACAACTATTGATAATAACTATAGTATTACATAAAGAACATATATAAAGCAAAAGAGAAGGCAATTTGAATCAGCATCCAGTTAAAATTTTGCCTTTCTTACCATCGTAATCCAACTCAAGGTTTAAATTTCACATTTTTATAATCTATTACCCTGTTATGGTTGGTCCAAACAGCTTTTCATCCACTTTCGTTAAAAGAAGAAAAAAGAACGATTATTGAAAAGAGAAAAGAATAATACAAAAGGTGCAGCAGATAAGTCATCCAACTGAAAGAAAGTATAACAGAAAAGAGGATGAAAAAACAAAAATACAAAGTAATAGAGACACAGCTGAGAACATCTCGCGTGACCGAAGCATCCCAACTCCTATGTAAAACAGACAAGGAGGTTTCCCTTGAGCTTTAGACCAAAGGGAAGCCAAGAAGGCTATATTCTTCCAGGCATAGATCTCAGAAAAAAAAAAAAACAATTGTTAAAGTACGATGATTTCTCTCCAACCAAATTGTTCACAAACCAACAGAAAGTGCACCTTTCCATGAAGGTCTATCCTTAGCCCTAATACCAAAACCACCACTGCTTGCAGATTACAGGAAAATATTACATTAAAACAGAAAATAATATACCACAAATATAACAGGAAAACATCACTTTTCATCAACTTGTCCATTCTTCAAGAGTCCAGAAAAAAAATTACTCCCTCCCATGTCTAATTGATCATCGTTGAAGGAATCTACAAATTAATATACCTGCAGACCCATCATGTTTGCAGTCACTGCAGGATTATCAGAATTATGATGGGCATCGAAGAGTTCCAGAACAAAGGAGTTCCAATAATCTAAGCAAACCTGCTCAAATGTGAGCAAAGGTCACAGCATCAGTTGAATTGAATTTAACCAAAATGAAGGGAAATAGCAAGAGCAACAGACAACATATGTTATTATTTTCTATCTAAAAAAGGGCCACCATACCTTGAAGACCTCCGTGTCATCAACATATGAGATATTTATAAGATATTCGAGTCCTGTGAGCAGTGCCGCAATATTCTCCTGTGTGAGTTCTAAAACACGAATATGGAACTGCATAAAGGAACATGTAAAATAAGTAACTAAAGAAAGAGAAGGCTCCACATCACCCCATAAATGCTTTGAAAGAGAATGATTACCATTAATAAATTAAAAAGTTCACATGTAAGAGTTTAGCCATTAAATTAAGCTAAAATAAATTTTTGGAAAAAAAAGAGCATGGTACAAAAATGGTTGACTGCAGGAACCCAGAACTGTGTTTGGCTGACAGAACCAAAACCTGCCAACTCTAGACCCAGTTAATCAAGCAAACTGAGGAAAAAAATTGAAAATGCATTGGTCAGAAACCAGAATCTGCATAGTAAAACATAAGGTCAGAAATAACTCCAAACCAAAAAGGTGTTTCTATTCAGATTGTGATTCACATCTCATCCAGAAAATACAATATATCTGTTTCCATCAGATGCATCAAACTAAGCAACACACTTATGCCATAAAGTTGGAACTTGAAAGGTGCAGACATGTCAAATTTGATTCAATAGAGAAACCTAACTTTTGTTTGTAGAAGACAGAATTTACCTTATAAAATGAAGTGAAAAACAGTGCCAGGTTCTGAATAAATGCCTGAAGGAACAACATATGATATATTGTTATCAACATGCAGGAGCATATCAAATAGTGGCCTGATTGGAATTTTATGCACTTAAAAAACCTCACTTGTTCATCACTAGATCCATGTGCATAAGCCTCTGGAATGTTTGTTGTTGATGGGAGAATGGCCTATAAACGCCAAAAGAATATCAATATTGAACCACTGGGAAGAAGAAAGATAAATAAAGAATACAAATACTACTTTGAAGGTTCAGAATGAATTTATACGTAAGCTCAAAAAGAAAGACATAAACATGACTAATGAACATAAAATCTTCAGAAAAAGCTCACCTGCAATTGCACCATGAATATGCTATACATTTTGACATACTGAACATCATAGAAATCCCCGAAATTAAGAGCTGCAACCTGCTAACAGCAAAGAAGATTCAAGTTTAATCCAACATTAAAATTTTCCTTCTTAAAAGAATATATCAAATAACCATGTACCTCTGTCAAACATTGGAGAGTAAGATTGCGATATGCTGGCAAAGGGAAAAATTTTAGAAGTGTCTCTAGCTGTAAGATATGGAAACATGGAGGCCGTGAAAATATCACAACAATCATTAGTTTGCAGGTCAAAAGCTATATTCTTCCAGCAAACTGACTACATGAAGAGACAAAGGACATACCAGTGGTGATTCAAAAATGTAGCCCAAAGGAATCCAAGAGAGGAATGCATGCAATGTAGAAAGAGTTGCCCTAATAAGCTCAGTTCTTTGGGATGCTGATAGTACATATAAGCACAACTCATGAATGAGTTGAAACTCACTGTAACAAAACCGATCAGAATTCATTTTAGGACAATAAATTGCCCAAATATTTTAGCACTATAGCAGATATTCTATAAATAAAAAAAGAAAATGAACAAGAGAGCCATAAATGGCATTATTGTCCAAGATAGGTTCATATGATTTGGCATTTATGCAGAATAACAAAAATGTCGCTCCAGCGACATTAGAAGGCGAACAAACAAAATATCATGTAGATTTAAAGAATTTTCAAAAACTACAAAGAGCTGTTTAATACTATAACTACATAAAGAAAAGGTACGGTGAACTGGTCACAAGATCCTGTTGCTCTAGTAACCAGATTAACCTAGGAGTTCTTTACGCGTAAAGTCCTTCCAGTTTAATAGAAGTCCTCAGGGCCTCAGTTTTTATATTGAATAACCACAGCTAAATTTCAGGTAAATATTCACTAACCAGTAAATCCTCTCACACAAATACCTAAATAAAGTTTAGTTACCAATATAACATACTCTCGCATAATTCATGATTTAGAACAAGAAAGAAAGAATAGGGAATTCACAATCACATGATTGACAACAAACACAATCATAGAAGTCCAAAAACCACAGGGCTGCAACTCAATCAATGAATAATCTTAATATATTTTATTCATCGAAGCCTTCTCACAATGTTGAATCATATGTATACTCATAGGACATTTAAACAATCCAATATGACTAGAATCTAAATAGCAAGAGATTTCTCACTAAACATGTAATAAAATCCTGATAAAATATATGTATCTACTCCCCAAACAATCTTTTTTTTAAATAAAAGTATAGTATTAAATCATCGGTACTCCCCAAACAATCTTATACTAGTAATAATTTTCTAAGAGTAATATCATAGAGAGAGAATTTTGAAATAAATATTTGAACAAAATAACTAAGTTTGGGTGAAAAGGAGTCCGTTTTTAAGGCTTCTAGAGGTCTCAGGGTGATCAATTATCTCCTTTGCTTTTCATTGTAGTGATGGAAGCATTAAATATGATGTTACTGAGAGCAAGGGAGTTGGAATTATTTAAAGATTTGAAAATAGAAAGAGCATGTTGAGGAGGTGATGCATCTAATTTTTGTGGATGATACTTTACTATTATGCAAACTGGAGGAAAGAGCAATGCTAAATCTCATATGCATCCAATTTAGTTTCCAAGCAGTTTCATGAGTTAATACTAATTTATCTAAATCTGAGATGGTGAGACTAGGGGAGGAGAGAGATGATTCAAGACTGGCAAGGGTCTTGAGATGTAAAATAGTGGAACTACCAATCAAGTATTTGGGCTTACCTTTGAGGGCAATATACAAGGACGAGAGAACTTGGCTCCCAGTGGTGGTTCACATGAAGATTGGCGGGTTAGAAGAGAGTGGGGTAAAACTAACACTTAATAAAATACGTTGACTAACCTACCTATTTACATCATGTCTCTGCTGACAATCCAAGTGAACATAGCCAAGAAATTGGAATCTAATCAATGTAGGTTCCTTTGGCACAATCTGAAGGAAAGGAGTAAGTACCATTTGAAGAGTTGAAGGAGGTTAAAACAACCTTTGTCTTCGGGTGGTTTGTGATTGAGATCCTTTGTAGAGATGAATAAGGCACTACAAGGGAAATGGCTATAGAGATTCATGAAAGAGAATGGTTCAATTCGATGGAGAGTGATTAAGGCAAACTTCGATACTGTAGATAAGGGATGATTTTCTAGAGAGGCAACAAAACCGCATGGGAAAGAGATGTGAAGAAAAATAAGCATGAGTCAACACATATTTTAAGAATGCATCAGGTGGAGTTTAGGTGGGGAGGCAGAATTAATTTCTGGAAGGATTCCTGCCTTGAAGGGGGAGTTCTCAAGGATCGATTCCCTCATATTTAAGCTATTGCAAGGCAGAAGGATAGTACAGTCTAGGAGGCGTACAGAGATAAAAAAAAAAAAAAGAATAGTGAGTGGAGTGTAAATGTTGTGAGGAATCTAAATGATTGGGGAGTGAATGAGTGTGAGCATTTTTACCAAGCAAACTTTCTGCTGTAAGATTTAATGGAAATAATGATCAATCATTACAGAATCTCAAGAGTAATGGTCTATTCATGGTCAAGTCATCTTATAACTACTTGGTTGAGAATGAAGTAGCACAGTCCTCCAATTTCAGCAAATAGTGAAGGTAAATGCTTCCCCATATTTGCCTTTTTTGCATGGGGGCAGGGCAAGGGTGGACTTTGACACTAGACAAATTGATGAAGAGGGAAACTTTTTTGGGGAATGGATGTTTTCTATGTAAAAAGAAGGCAGAATCCTGTGATCATATTATGCTTTGGTGTCTGTTTACATACAAATTATGAATTACGGCCTACAGATTTTTGGGGATTAACTGGGCAATAGCCGACTCAGTAAGAGACGAGATATGGGCATAATAAGGCATTAGTAATGGAAGGAAATATGTAGATCTCATCCCTCTTACCATATTATGCTTGTGTGGAAAGAGAAAAACAAGAGAGCTCTTGAGGGGAATAAAGAAGATTTGGTCAGAATTAGAGACAGATGACTCCAAGTGTCGGGTTTTTTGGTAATCAGGCACCCTATTCTTTCTGTTGAAGAGTTTAGAAAGTTCATTGATATACTAACCGATTTGTAAATAATTTTGTACACGGCTGGGTACCCTTTTGGTGCTAATGAATTAATGAAACTCTATACTTTTTGTTTCAAAAAAAAAACTAAGTTTTATAGTGTAATTTCACAAGGACTAAAAAAAAAAGTTATAATGGAATCATGTGCATGTGGCACAACTGAAAAATTAGTAGTTACTAATGAATTTATGAATTGGGTTGATCTGCTCAAGGATCTCAGATTGAGAAGCTCAAGATTATGCTTTCTGATTTACAACTAACAGTCGATGATCATATTGACACTTGGTAGAAGACATTATAGGGAAGCTGCTATTGTAATGGGCAACACCCCCTTGAGCCTTGTTTATAATAGTATCCTTTTTTTCTCTCAAGATAACTTGCCACAATGATACAGAGAAGAACTTACCATTTATGTTTATAGTCCTGATGTACTTACCTGTTTAGAGATTGTTTTAGCTCTTTGATCTTTAGTTGAGTCATTTCACCTCTCGAAAAATCAAAAACCTCTTCACTGAGAAGCTGCAAAACCAGCATTCCATATGTTTTGAAGGATAAAACAAGTATATCAACAACAGCAAGTGTTGACCATGGGTATTCAAACAAGCTACGAAGAGAAATAATATAAACTTACTTTTAAAATAGCCATGCAATTTTCACAGATCGTTTCACTAGTTTTGGCTGCTGCAACAAGATCCGGAATAAAGCTTCGCCATCTAGCTGGCCACTCATGCTTTACAATCTGCATATCCTCATTTGTCAGAATATATGCTTTATTAGAGAACACTCTCATCAACATATGCTTATGCAAAAGGACTTAGATTAAAAAGACAAGAGAGAAATAAAGCACAGCAATCCTATCACTCAAATTACTTAGGTTTATCTTTATACTTAACTCATGCTTTACAATATATCCTCATTTGTCAAATTATGCTTTTTTAGAGAAAAAAGTTGTCAAAACATGCTTACAGAAAAGGACTTGGAATAAAAAAAGGATAAGAAAGGACAATGCACAGCAGTTCTATCATCCAAGTATTAGTTTTATCATTATACTTAGGTTATGAATGCTGCACCATTCCTTTGTTCTAGCTGAACTAGCAGGTAATGAGAAGTTCCCTGAAAACTTCACCAAAAGCTAAGTGGTGGCTAGTCCTGATAAGGAGCAAATTTGGGCATGGCAAGTTTTAAATGGTAAAAAGAAATTCTGGACTTCACCTCACTTTCTATTTTGTGAAAAGTTTTGAAAGAAAGAAACCTAAGAGCCTTTGAAGGAGAGGTTTCATCCTTTCAAAAAATTCAAGATTTTCGGGAGTTTTAATGTTCATAATACATTCAAAGAACAAGATCTCTTGGACCTGTTTACGATGTCAAATTGTAAATTTTTAACTTTTGCTTTCATTTCATACAAGATTGTTACCTCCAGACCCTACAGGCATCCCTTGTACAATAGACTTCTTTCTCCATCCATTTAGGTTATGAATCTAGAAATAGCACTAAAATTACTTTAGAGTTAATACAAGTTATTACTAAGAGGCTTCAAGATACTTTTATTAAATAAAAAGTATAATGTGTATTTATTAATTACAGGCACCAAGGGGGTGACAACCCATATACTAAAGATATTTACACATCAATAAAGACTTCGATAAGGTTATCAAAATCCTCTATAGAGAAGAAAAAGTTAACCAGTAACCAGACAACCCAAAGTTTGATACCATCTATCCCTTAGCATATCAAAATCCTCTCCCATATCCCTTCAAACGCCCTTCTGACTCTTTCTTTCCACACCCCCCAAAAAATTGTAAGAGTGAGGCCCAAATGTTTTTTCCTACCACTCACCCCCTTCATGGCACTTCAAGATATTATCTACGAGGTTGGACTTTATGTTATCAATAGGAGTAGCCTTTGGCATTTATGTTCTTATGAAGAGTAAAAAGCTTTAGCTTTCATTTCATACCAGGTCGGTACCCCTGTGCCATGCATACAGCAGACTTCTTTGTCTATGACTTTAGGTTACGATTCTACTACTAGCAATAAATTTACTTTTAGAGTTATATATAAGTTATTGCTAAGGCACTTCATGGTATTTTCAAGGAGACGAACAAATTAGTTTTAGTTTATTTTATCAGTAGAAGTAGTCTTTGGCTTTATGTTCTTATGAGAGAGTAAATGACTTTTCTTTAATTAGAAACCTCATAATAGCTTTCATTTCTTCCCCTCAAAGCAACAACCCTTTTTCACACATGAAAACATTTTTAATTTTCATTTTCCACATTAAAAAATAAAACATATGTCGTAGTTGAAAATAAAACTGAAGTTCAGAAAATGGTAATAGAAAATGTAAGTTCAAAAATAATAGAAAATTGTTTCAGTTTTGTTTTAGAGACCTATTTTTCAATTTACAATTAAATAGCATGGATGCACATACACATAAGCTTATGGAAATAGGCCAGAAAATATTTCTGTGCACCAAATAAAGCTATAAATTTTCAAAATGTATCTTATTGTTCTTCCGACTGCATCATCAACATGCCATACAACAGGCTGGACATATCTAAGTCAACAGCCATGTTATTTATCAGGGTAAACGGACAGTTAGCTCATACCTGAACCAATATGATATTAAGTTTGTTGACATAAAGCCTTTCCAATCGAAAAGATGCCTCATTACTCGATAGCTATAAGAATGTAACAAAAGTAAGTACAGATATAACAAAAAGATAAAGAAAATTCTGGAAGAATAAACAGTACTCCTTTCTCCCATGAAAGAATCACAGCTTCTCCTTCAGACGAATACCTGTACAATGACTTCAGAAATGTAATTTTTCATTCCATCTCGCTGCTCAACAGGCAAAGCATTCCATCTATACTTGATAACACCTTCCAAAACCTGAGAATAAAAGCCAAAAAATGCTCTTAAGAGAAATGTTTTTAAAATAATTGTAAAAAAGATACCCATTAATCAACTAAAATTCCAAGCAAAATAAGTTGGTTTCTATCATCCCATCCAAAAGTTCTAGGGTACTATGGAAGGAAAATAGGAGAGCCTTTGAGGATGTTTTTGTCCGCCTCTTGACAGAATTAGACACCTTTGGTTTCCGGACCTTGTGTATTTTGCCAAAGGATCATTTTCTACCTAGCAGAGAAGATCTAGAGGACCTAAAAGATATACTGTCTACCTCTTTCCTGTAATCTTTTGTCGTATATGTTTCATCAAATTTGATAACACACTAAGGAATATTTTCCTCAAAACTAGATACTAAAATTGATTATCTTCATTCATACATATAATATTATATATATGCAACATATCAGAGTATAGAGCAATTATTTCACCTTACACATAATACAAATATAAACAGCACATTTTAGAAATGTAATTGACCTGCAAGGCAAAGAACTTGGTATTCAGATTCTTTGTATTTTGTAGAATGTGCACAACTTGGAGCCACATATCTGGATTGTTCTGTAAATCTCGCAAAATTTGGTCTGCAGCTGTTCTCTGTGCAATATTTACAGAAAAATTTGGACAAATAATTATTTAAAGGGAAGACCAACATCCAATTCAGAAGTTATGGAATTTACATTCCAAAAGCATCAGGCCACAAGTCTCTAAAACCAATGATGCACCAAATCAGTTACCACAAAATTAATAACCATCTAGAAAGATTGCATCGGATAGCAGTTACCATAAATGGGGTTCATAGTATCTGAGGAAGGTACTAAACAATATTAGTTTAGTTAGTTTTAGAGGGGATCACCAAACAGATAATTTCTATCGCAAAAAGGATGCTCAAAGTGTACCACGTCACTCCTGTCCTAATGAAGGTCATCCTTACAAAAGATGATCTAAACTAAAAGAATATACTAAAAAAGCATGTCACATCATCAGTGAGTATTAAACTGTTATTACTACTTCTCTTTCCACCTTTGTACTAAGCTTATAGATTTTTCTTAGTAAATGGTTTTCTACAAAAGGATTTTTTAGTGAACACGTAACTGCTAACTTTAATTAACTCCTTTGTCTAAAGGCAGAAAGAAATTTGTTGATTTCCTCTCTTATCTACAGCAAATCATATTATCACTACATCTACCCCTTTTTTTACTTACCACTTTTATTAGATGGTCAACTTTAAGAGGAAAAAAGAAAAGGAAAATATACGTTCATAAAGAAAACCATCACTAAAAAGTTATGTTCATACTTTCCAAAAAGAAATCGATATCTATAACAGTAAAAAAAAAACCTCTTCTTTCCTCCTGGAACTTAAGGAAAGTCACTATTTCAAGCTATAGTTCATTAAGAAAAATTATAAACCAAGACAGATGTCAATTATATAAGTACTATCACCAACACTATCGCGAGGAAAATCTAACACAGAAAGAATCGTAATATGAGATATAATACAGTTCTCTATTTCAGCAACAGAGACAACCGAGAAAAAAATGCTAAAAACTCATAAAACAAAACAAAAAGGAAATAAACGATCAAGAAAATGGGACAATTAAGTTAAGGATTTTAAGACAATTGGAGAAATAGGGTGCACTTTTCCAGTTTTCTCATGCACCACTCTAAAAGTCCCACGCAATCAAATCATTGTTAGGCCTTGAAGACATAGAACAGGATGAACCGAAAGAAAAAAAATCAAACCCTCCATTTCTAGCAGTGAAACAATAATAACCCCATTCTGAAATGTCTCTAAACCCCTAATAACTGAAACCTCCCACCCCCGACCCCTTCTCCTTAATTTCTGTGCAGTTTATTGGGAACAAAAGCAACCTATTAACTTTCTTAGTTCAATTCCCCCCAAAGCAAATGCCCCGGCGTGTAAAACCCTAATGATGAAAATGCCCCAATCTCACCACATTCCGCAAAACTTTATCGCTACCAAAACACAAACAAGGAGAAGGAGAACAAAAAGCACTGAATGAAGACTAAAAGCCGGAAAATCTTATCAATTAACAAGTCCGAATTTCGGCCCATTTCGCTACAGTTGATGGAGAATCAAGAGATAAGCAGGCAGAGGAAACAAGAATATCCACTCACCTCTTCTTTAGATCCAGTGCCATAGAAGGCTGCAACGGTGGCGTCGAGCAAGCCGACGTCAATCGGCTGGCTCAAATCCCTGAGTTTCTCAGCCGCCATAGCCGAAGAAAAACACACCACACCACAAGGACACTCTTCCGATACTAAACCCTAGCGAGTGTACGGACCAAACCCTAAGAGAGAGGAGGACGAAATAGAAGTTCTAGAGAGAGAAAAGAGTTTGAGAGAAAGAAGTATATATAGAGGGAGGGATGTGAAAGACAGCTTAAAATTGAAGCAGAGAGGGAGAGACTTTGAAATGTTTTTTTTTATATTTTATTTTTATTTTAAAAAATTAAATTAAAAAAAAAAAATTTAAAACCCTCAGAACTGTTTGGCATTAAGTAGCAGGAAGAAGCAGCAGCATAGTTACTGGTTAAGAGATTTTATTTATTTTTTTTTTTTCCTTGAGTTTTTTCTTTTTATGATTTTTTTTGTAAAATAATTTAATAATTTACTTTGATTCTTTGAATAATATAGTCGATTAAGGAAATTTTTTAAAATTTTGTATTATTATGTTATTACTTATTCTATTTTTTTAATTTTTTATGACTCGTACAGAAAGTAATAATATGTTAAAAATGTAATGGTAATAATGTGTTACGAATTTAAATTTGGACATGCAATAAATAAAAATCTAATATGATACATATAATCACAAATAACTTCACAAAAAGATATAATTTAACCAACACTCATATGATGTTGTTAATGATGATACAATATATAGAGTTTATTGATGAAAAGAATTTATTAAGATCTAGATACGAATGATTTTGAATTATTTTTATTATTATTTTAAAACTCAAATGGCTATGAGAGAAAGAGATAGTTTATGAAATGTATAATGAAAGTCTACGATGTTTTATTTTTTGAATATGTAATATTTATATAATGTTTTATTCGATGATTTATCATAAAATTTATTTAAAAAATATTTGTAATAACGAAAATAAAAGACATCATTAATGATTGATCGCGGTATGTAATCTTACTAGTGCTACTTGATTTTTGTAATGATTAAGAGTTAAGATACACTTATTTTCTAACCGGTGATAAGAATAAACTATTTGAATTATGAGTAATTACTTTTTCATAGAATATAGTTAAGTAATAAAATATTACTAGTAATTTTACTTATTACATTTAGTTTTGACTTATTATTTGGTAAGACTATTGTTATTATTTATCAATAAATAATTTATATTAGATAAAGTATTAAAACCAAAAACATCGATAGTTTAATGAGAAAATCTATTTAAAAAAATTTTGAGTATCCTCAGTATCATTATAGAAGAACTTGATTTGGACAAACTAGCTGAACAAGTTTTTTTAAAAAATAATTGTCTACGATCATGACTCATCTTTAAATCGATATACTTATGTAATAATATTATTTTAATATTAACATTTGATTATTACTTATTATATACTAGTTTAAATATTATATAAAAAATAGTAAATAAGATTAGAAGAGGTAACAAATGTAAAACATTAACTAGAAATTATTTAGTTAATTTATAAGAAGAATATTAGGTTTAGACATTTGTATGACAATATTATCAATAAAAAAGAAAGAAATTTAAAAGAGATAAAGAAAAAAAAAACTCTTAAACTCACACCTTTTTTATTTCTATCGAACCCAAAAGCACGTATTATTAAAAACTAATTAAACTTATTCAATTTTCTGGGCAAGTTTAATATATGAGTTAGTAAATATTTATTGCAACCTAATTGGCAATAATAGACCATTTGAACAATGAAACAGATAGCTCATTTATAGAACGAAGTTAATAATAAGAAATAACACTGGTAATTTTATTTAATATATATTTAAGTTTTAATTAATTAATATGAACAAAGATCTAAATCATTTATAGCTTAACGAAAAAATCTCTTAAATAAGATCCTTGTATCGCAAGATAAGTACTTTACAAGACAAGTTATTTAGACGTGCTATCAAAATAGTTATCCACCATCATAGCTTTTCAGTGTTATGTTTTTGAACCAATTAATTACATAGTTATGTAAGAATATAATTATAAAAATATCTTTTCAATTATTAATCTTTGATTATTAATGTTACGTACCAATTTTGATTGGTTTAAAAATTAAAAATAGCACAATAGAATTGATGAGGTAATAAATATGAAATATTAAATAGAAATCGTTTAATTAATTCACGAAAATAATATGACATATATTATTCTTTTTATTATTATAATTTTATTAGTAAAAAAGAAAAAAAAAAGAAAAAGAAAAAAGAGAAAAAAAAAAAAACATAAACACGCACGCGTGAGATAAAAAAGGTTAAGACAACTCTTAAATTCACATGTTATTCAAAAAGTACGCAAATCTATTTAATTTTAGAACCGATTCTAACCTATGATTCATTTTCTTTAAAACACTAAAAAAAATTTATTTTCATTTCTGTCAAATTTTTATCTCCTTTATTTCTTGATGAAATAAAAAAGAAATCTAAATAGATGCTTGCTACCCTTCAAACAAGAGAAGAACCCAATGGGCAGGGGTCTCTTATGCCACTTCACACGATGATTCACC